CCGTTCTACCCCGTCACACGGGTGACGCGAATTCCGAGACAATTTATGAACTCACGCTGAAGTGTTTCGCTGACCCAGGCTATCAAAGGCTGCGCAATGGTAAACACAGAGCAAGTTATCTTTCAAACCAAGGACGTAAGCAACGTAGTGAAATTCTTTTCTGGCTAACCTTCTCACGCCATCCGTCCAGTTTTGCTCCTTTTCCTGATCTTTTTAACTCCATGTACGCCGTTTTAAGTGGTTGCTTTAATCTAACACAGCTAACACAAATTAGGTGAAGTATTCCTTAAAAGTCCAAGGTTGATCCCAATATAATGCAACCTAAACTTATGTTACGGTATTTTCGCAGACTAATTTCTTTTTAGAAAAATTTTATGCTACTTTTTCCTGAGAAAATGAAAACCTCACTCTGTACTGTGAAACGACAACAGTCAAACCAACAAAAATATTAGTTTCTGTACTTTTTTTTCGCTAAATAGCTCGTTCGTCTCCTGAAATAGCGATTTGTCTTAAAAATGAACCAAAACCAGACAGACGGCCATTAAACCGGTAAACTGAATACCGATACAGTGGGTGGGCTTCTGCTGACTATCGTTAGAAAACTGGGTACGATCTTCTAATGCACGCGCAAAGTCAAAAGCTCCATTGTTACGTCAAATAATTATTGTGGTCGTGGTAAGGCAATGAACAAGTCATACTTTTCTGGCGGGAACAAAGACTTTCCTCCCCTAGGATAACAGAGCACATTCGCCACGTAGACTCAACAAGGGAAGAAAAACGTTATATTTAACGTGAACCACTCTCAACGAAAAGGTAGGAATTGCCTCCATTTTTAAAAGAACTCTTTCATCTTTCAAGTCAGTTTCCTGAAACGATTTTTTCAACGAACAGACTTTTGTGATTTGTAAACACGGTTTTCTTCATCTTACTTTTCTAATCAGTTAAACTGAATCAAACCAATTGAATTAAATTTCGATTATCGATGATCTACCATAACGATGTTTAGACACATTATTTCTTTTTTCTCTGATCATAAACAAAATTTGGTCTCCATAGTGATTTCCACTCACGTAGTTTGCGCGCGCGTACACAGCGCGCCCTACAACGGTTCTCTACGGCTTTCGTTACTTTTAGGGGACCGTCGCTCTAAACAGCAAAACAGCAAAACAGCAAAACAAGTTCTACTGCCGGTACCTTTCAGAATTTTCCTTCCCTTCATCTCTTTAGAATGTTCACTTGCATTCGCAACTAAAAAAAGGAAGACTCTCTTTTCTTCACACGGAAAAGCGTAAATTGGCGAAACGAAAAGAAATTTAAATGAATGGATGGAGGAAATGGACATACAAACCCACACCAAAGCAGTTTTCGAACCCACAAAAAACAACCTCTCATCATGCCGCTTTGCGATGAGGTTCAGTTTAAGAATGTACACTAAAAACAATAAAAAACAGTTGAATTGACATTCCAAAATCATGGATCCCGATCCGCAAACATCAGCGCCCAGACTCACAACAGTCCAGTGGAAGTCAAATTATAATTTGTATGAAAATTTATTGTAAAATCGATAAAACGGTTAAAAGTGCGCATGAACAGACATTTAAGGGCACATACCTCATAAAGGGTCGTGTCTATGTTATTTTCTTACTATTTTCGGCACTATAAACACCATTTTTGCAAGTTCTGATGTTTTGGTTTCTCACCTACCAAGAAGAAGAAAAAGGACAACTCCGCTGTCCTACGCTGGCCAAAGAAAATGCTAAAAAAATTTGCTTCATTCCACTCCAATCGCCTTAACACTTCGCTTGAGTATAGATGGAAGATTTTCCATCCTTGGAAATGTCAATTTGGTTCCAAACATAAAGCCATGGTCTCAAAAGGACGAGAAATGTAAACAATATTGTATTAGCGCTTCCGTGGATACACTCTTCTTCCGACGGAGTGTACGGGTCATGTCCCTGGGTACCAGAGGTTTTTCCTCGCCTGAGAATGAGAATTTTCTCGATTTTGTGTATAGGTTAGAATTATGAATGGCTAATGCAAAAGCGGGCTAGGAGAAAGAGATAAAGACGTCTTTTCATTTTCTAGGGAGGTAGCAAACCATAACATCAATAAAACCGTTAAGAGTTTTTCCTACAATTTCTTAGTCGCACTTTGAATTTTCGGCCCGAGCTTTTCAAGATTTAGTCCACTTCCACTCTATTCGTCCTTGTGCAAATACAGTTTCTGGCATTTTTGTCGTGCCATTATAACAACTTGTAGAAAGACCAGGCCTTTACATTTGATAAACCGTTTCTGTTGTCTAAGTTAGCACTACATATCGGTGATATTTTTAATTCCTTTAATAGAGGCTGAGGGATCATGAAATTTTTGGTTCCTAGGATTGGACTAGGGGCGTATTAGAGGTTTGGGGCCATCATGCATGGGTTAGGCTCGGAAAAAGTTTATGAGTTTACCAACGGTTGCGGAGCATCACCACAACATTTGCACGCGCACGTTTGAAAGCATAATGAGCGACCCGAACCACAAGTTAAGAAAGTTGTTGCGGCCTCTTTATAAGAGCAACTATAATCTAATGCACGCGTGCACTTCCACTACGCCGCGTTGCAAGACAAATAGATTTAAGAACAGTTTTTTTATGGCCTCAGGCAAAATTGTAAATAATTTTTAGGTTTCTTATTATACGCTTTTAGTCTTAGCTATTACAATTATCACTCATTTTTACAATTATTAGTATCAATATTATTATTACCGTTATTTATTACATAGACACGAGTGTTTTACAGGAAAATATACCACTCGTAAAATTCATAAAAAGTACATCCGGGACCCGAGTGGTTTATTTTCCATAATCTCACACGTGAGTTTATCGATGACGTAATTTCGGTCATTTCCCTCTATTATTTCATCGATGTCTTTTTGTCTACATAATAAAAAGAACATTACACGGCGGCTTGAAGATACGAATTATATTTTCTCGTGGCAAAAAACAATATTTTACGAACAAGCTGCGCTCGTTCGTAAAATATTGTTTTGCCACTCGAAAATAAAATTCATATCTTCGCGCCACCGTGTAATATCCTTATGATGTAAATACGCAATTCAGCTTATGCTGCAATGTATTTAATAAAGTACCTACCTACCGAGAAGTAGAAAGTTAGTCCATTTTGACAAGGATATTGTAGTCGCACTTTACAAAAAAAGTTACGAGCCAGAACAAGACAACATAACACAATCAAATAGTGTTAACAAAACACATTTATTAGGGACTCTACCAAATCGTTTTGTGTCAGAAAAATTAATAAGCAAGCAGTATAAGATAATTTAACATATCACTTTCAAAAACAGATACAATTATAAAAGATAAAAAAATCATCGATCGCGAGTGCTAACAAATATAAATACGGTTAAATCGGAAGGTAAAACTTCTTTGTGTTGTTAAAACTATTGTAGAAAGGAACGCTTCTCTCGAAGAGAACCGTCAACAATAATGGCGGTAATCACAGCCACGTACATGTAACCATAGATACGCAAATGACTTGAAGAAGAGCTACTATGTGGTGTTTACAACCACAAAAAGCGAGTAATTTTTTAAGGGCGAAGTTAAAACAACTGTACTCTAGGGGTACACACCATTTCACAGACATTCGTGTTACTAAACTGCGCTTAGAGTGCCGTTATGTCTTGATTGCTAGACCACTTTCGCGAGAAACACACAAAGAATATTTTTGCTTGCGAGCACACCATCAGTGAGAGCAATGCTGAAAAGATTAATACTTGAAAAAAATTCTTAACGAATAAAATTTTGATCACGAAATTCTCCAGGTATGTGCTAGCCTGAAAATCACCTAGATAAAAAATCAACTTCACCCGGTTAAGAATGCCTTGGTTTGGAGCTTTCATTTTACCTGGAGAGAAACAGAGAAATATCGGTGGGTCAGTGCGAGTCCTTCTTTTTAAGTACACCTGCTACGATACGAACACTATCCTAATCGCCTTGGTTTATAGGGTAGATGTTGTGCATCATTAAAGTATTTTCCGGTTTGATATTGCACGTTATAATACGGTTCTATTTTCTCCTGCTTCAAATTGCACTTAGCTCGGTGCCACTCAGATGTTCTTAGGGTTTCATTACGTGTTCCTTCACCAAGAACGTCTGCTAAACCGAGCAGCCAATTCGGTTCACCTTCGTTTGCAAAAACAATTATTCTGTGGCACGGTTTTGCAGAACATAGAGTATGATGTAAAAAGAATAAAACAAAACAATATCAAAGCTGAATCATGGGAAATATTTAAGTATAACATATGATATGAAGGTTGAAGCACTAGTATTAGCAAGTCATAAGGAAAGCGAGTCCCCTTGCATAGTGGGGTATACTGGTAGTAAATTCAGAAGCTACTGGATTAAGTCTAGGGCCCTAAAAAGTGAAAAGTCGGTATTCTATTGTCGATTGTTTTGTAGCATATCGTCGATGCAACATATCAAATTACACAGGTTTAAAACAACTATTGCTTTTAACTAACTTTTAAAACTAACTTCCGGGAAAGGATTATATAACCTTAAGTGCACACAATAGAAACACCCAATAGCGAAATGAAACATTACTGAACAACCTCAAACAATTTACCTAAGCTTAATAAAACACACCTATTACAGTTTAACAAGTCATACATTAGTTAATACTGATGACGGAGAGGTTAAAAATCCCGGCGCCACTAGGTTCTCTCGTCTTCGAGGAAAAGAACCTGCGAACAAGCTAGTCATCAGACTTAAAAAGATTTGTAAACTTTTCAAATCCTAATTTTGCTGAAAATCTAATTTGACCTTGTAAAATCACTGCTCAAAAACATATATAAAATGGTTATAATATGAAACATATCAGAAACTTATCACCAAGGATTAAATGCTATGAGTTGTAAAAAGATCCCCCTTATCAAGACCAAAACAAATGCATTAGCAATGGTAATGAGAAGATGCGTGTTGATAACATAAAGCCTGTCAGTTAGTAGTACCACTTGTAAAACTTGGCCGCGTCAACTGACGTCATGTCCCTCTCAAACAACAGCAGCAGTTCACAGTGTTTGGTGTGCGGGAACAGATCTACTGGGACGGCCTTCACCAGCCTGAATGGTGCTGTTTTGATTCTCTTCGATGTTGGTCTGCACAAACTGAAAGAAGAAGTACACATTAGACCTGCCTAAAAACGATCTGTGCAGTTCAATGACTAAGAACGATTCAGTTTATTTGCCTCCACATGCGACCACCTCACTTAAGCAACCAACCACTATACAGTTCAGTACCAACAAAACATTTCCCCCAGTCACAGCAGCGAGAAAACGCCGAAACCTTCCTCCAACTTTTTAGCCCGGTAGTCGCTTACAAGAGCTTCGACTGTATTTTCCTTCCTCGTACGAACTAATAACATTAATACAATAAAGAAACACACAAACACAAACAAGACCTGCACAGCAGTAATAGCCGACAATAAGGTTAGTTTTCTTGGGAGGAGGAGTTGGGGACGAGCTTCAGTCTCGTCAACATGACAAATAGGGAGGGAAACATTAAAGATAACCATACTTTAATATTCCTTAGCATAAAATACAGATTTCTTACTCAAGAAAGTTAACGAAAGCTGCACTTGGGTTGCAAGACACGTAGATTAGCTTATCCATTCGACGGCTCTTCCTTACAGCTGCAAGAACTGACTGGTCTGTGAGACAAAATACACAACAACCTCGTTACTATGGCCTCTCCAGTTTCCATTGTTCATACAAGAGGAGGGAGCCTGGACGCAATTACTACAGATTAATGTACTTTTGAGCAGTACAGTAAATGAGGTGTCACGCATTCACGCCTTTTAACTTTTATAATTTCACTAAGATTCTCGAGTGTGACCATTCTAATGAAGCTGGATCGCAGTAACTTCAAGGTGGCTTAAAGCTTTGGGTCTAATTAAATCTTTGAGTCTGCTTTAAATGTTGCTTAATTCTACTTACGCAGTCCAGCACGAGGCGGGTCCATGATGCCAATGATTTTTGTCTTACGTGGCATGTTTTTGAACACGTCAACGATAATGTCCTCTGCCTTACCACAAACAAACTGAGCATTTGTGACGCCTATAGTAAATACAGTACAGGTAAATTATTCAGTGGCATTCTTAACGATTACATAATTTGGGGCAAAATGCATTAAAAAGCCCACACCAGCAATGACGCCCACTGGGCCAAAGTTAATCCCGGTTTCAGTAGAAATAGGCCCTGGATGAAACGGAATGGAAGACCCCGTTCCTTCATTTGGAGGAGAGGAGAGGAGAGATATATTTTTCATCTACATGTATTTTGTTCAAGATAGTACAAGTATAGCCCAGGTGGCAGGCGTGGAAAGGGAAAAAAGGTGAGAGGATCAGGCTACTAGGCTGTCACTAACCCCCTTTGCTACCCCCCGCTCCCCCACCCCTCTCCCTCACAAGTTCCCCGCTTAATGAGATGTTAGTCCATTGTAGGTTACCCTCAGCAATGTATCGACAGAACCAGGGTGCAAAGAAAATCATTTTCACAGCTTGCCATTTGGGCAAGCTGAAGCTAGCAATTACTAGCCCAGACGTCATTTCAACTAGCCCCAAAATCGTTTTGATGAGCAGAATTGATTAGACAGTTCTTCTCGTATTCGATTTTCTCAAAAAACATCACTTGCCCGTCGGGCAAGTTAAAAACAGAATTCACTAGCCCCGCCCGATAGCAAAATCCACTAGCCCCGGGCTATCGGACACTTCTTTTTTTGCACGCTGAGAACACACTTACACAACTGGATGATAGAATTAATCAGTCTACATAAGGTGGGTTTTGGAGTCACGGAAAACTGCAAGAGACTGTCACTCACCATTGAGTTCTGCGTTTGCCTTTGCATCCTTAACAGCGTTTTCGATGATTTCAACGCCAATCACACGTTTAACACTCTGAAAGATGAAATCATAAATTCAACAATCGGTTTTGCCGCGTCTGTCAAGTCACCCCTTTAATTAAGCCCCAATCTCTACATACTACATACAGATGGATCTCCATACATTTCCTGAAAAAAATTGATAAAAGAACAAAGAAATGTCCCTTTGATGATCATTTTATTAATTCTTTAACCTTTCCTCTTGATTATGTATTGATATTGTTGGGAAATAATTGATGTGATCACGCTTGGGTCTTAACCCTTTCACTGCCAAATGTGGCCAAAGGCAAATTTCGACCAACTTTCCAAATTTCTTTTTTTAAAATTTTGACAAACAAATAGCACCATGTTAAAGTACTGCTCAGTAGCTTTCATTTGAATGGTCACATCATAGGATTTCGTCCACAGACTCAAAAGTTATAGTCACCTTACAAAACTCCATCAAACACTCTGGCAGTGAAAGGGTTAAAGGGCTATACATGCAGTGAATAGAGCATACGTGTAGATTATGTTAATGTGGTGATAAATGAACGGTTTTGATGTAGCACATAACTGAGCCGACATACAGAGCAAGGTGGAATATATTTGCCACATACAAAAACAGAGACGAGAGAAAAATGCTCTAGTGCCCTGCTGTTGGATAATTTGCTGTAAATGATGTAACATACGAGTACCTGAGCTAGGCAAAGTCCAAGTGCACCAGTGCCACAGCAAATGTCTTGGAAAAAGGAAATATAGAAATAACAAATCAAAACGTTTGACAGTCACACGACTATTAAGTGTCAATACTCTTGTGCTGGGTACAACATAGTGTTTTAAAAGAAAACCAGTTAAAGTTAGATTTCGCTATTCCATGGTCAGTTTAAACATTTTAAGAACAAAACAGAACAGAGGCCGCGCCAAAGCCAGGGGAGGATGGGGACACTAGTCTTGCCATGGAGCAAAACATGTACCCCCACTGAAGTACTGCCTGGCCATACTTGAAGCTGTCCCATTTCATTTCGTCATAAAGCAGTTCAGTCCTTAACACGCGATACTCATTTGAGTTCTATTTGCTTTCAGGAGTGCATTAAGTTACACAGAAAATGCAAAGGAAAATTTCAGCTGAGTCTCTTGGAAAGGTAAATTAATCTGAGCTAAAACTCAATGTTGTTTCAAGCCAAGCACAGACACTAGAAAGAAGAGTTATGGGCAGAAATAGAATTGGAGAGGGGGCATTAATTTGCGTATAACACCCCCCTTTAATGACTAAAATAGTTCTTTCCTACCAAGTACCACTGTCTCATCCAGGTTGTCCCCACACCATTCTTTCAACAAGTCAAACAGCTTTTCAGTTGCCTTTGTGTTAACTAAGAGAAAACCAAACGATCATAATTAAATCCAAGCACAAGAACAACAACAACAACCCAGCTCAAATAGCTTTGCCACTTGTTGTATTTTCTTTGTGTTTGTTAAATTTTCGCACAGTGAACAATTTCAACTGGCAAAATAATTAAAAAGTTAATTGCTGATGATAGTGACATTACTAAAGGGAGAAGCAAACAATGTTTTATCCTTGCTGGAATTTCAAGTTTCAATACAAATTATTTTAACAGATTTACCTTGAAAGAATGAATCTGCAGAGATTCTGAACTTCAGTCCACAAAGCTCCTCGTAAATGTGCTAAAAAAATAATATTGAGGGAGGTACCTTGGTCAAAAAAATTTCCTTTCATGAATCACATAAAAACATCCTTTATAATAACCATGAAATTCCAGGTATAATTATACTGCATATTGCTGAAAGGTCTTTGACCAGGGTTTATAAGGACAAACATGTATAACTTCAAGTTCTTAGCAAACAGGAGTATGTTCATGTCATCTCAGAGAGGATTTAAAGCGTTTGCTTCAAGCATGCCTTTCCTTCCAAAGTCTTAGCCCTACATAAGGGACATGGTTGAACCCACCTCTTCACCCATAATGTGTGCAAATGGAGCTTCTGCATTACCACCAACAGCTCTGCAAAGGAAATCACACCAGCACTAATAAAATCAACAATTTATGTAGGTAATAATCACCAGTTCTCACCAGGCCACGGGCTTGTGGGATTCCCGCAAGAAAATCTGAGATGGCGCATAAAAAGCCAAGGAGATGGGATTAGGGCAAAGGGGCATGCTACAAGTCAAACAGACTTTAGAACGTCTACAGTTAAGTAGTTTTAATGGTCAATCTAACACCCCAGCATTTTGCTTGGCCGAATAAATAAAAAACATGATATCAGGGTTATCAGAAAGTTTCGAAGTAGACGCGCTGAGTTGTGAAAGTAAGCGGACAGTCCAGGGACATTTTATTTAAAAAACGCCGTCCGTAAAGAAAAGCCAAGCAGAGTAGCCGGCCTATAATAACCAAGTACGTGGCAATTTTCGCCGGCAGCCGGCTACTTTTAACAACCCTGTGATATCAAAAGATTCAAAGTCTTCAAATTTATTTCCTTACTTTCGTTGGTCCCACGTACACTGTGAAGATTGGCGCATGCACCATTATCGAATCATAAACACCCCGTCTGCCATATTGGATCAGGTAAGTAATTCACCAACAGATCATGAAGAATCACAAAGAATTTTTCCACAACAATCGTGGGTCATGAGTAACTTTGTCCACCTAATGTTCTTACAGGGCCCCTATTTCTCAACAGAGGGGGCCCTGGGACTCCCAAGGCAAAATCCTGGTGACAACACTGGAATAATACTATAGGATAACGATCACAACACATAACTGGGAGCTACTAATTGACTGGCATGCAGTTGTTTTAAGCTATCCTCAAATAATAATGATTCATAATTAATTTTAAGCAACACAAACCTTGTAGGGTTTATTTGAAGATAAAGCGATGTGAGCTGAACGTCTTTGCCTTCCCCAGTTTTGAAATACTCACAGATACGGTTTTTCTCAGCTTCAATTTCCTCCTGAAAAAGAATAATATCAATAACATTGAAGGCCTGAGACAGGGCATGCTCATGTACATGTACAGCTGTATAAAGTTCACAAGGCATTTAACAATAACATATTACTTTTGGCTAACAAAATAAGTAGTCTGACTGTGAATATAGCTATCCTCTTTCACTCCTTGCCACTAGAGCTAGAGACGTTTCATGGAGACGGCTGTATTAGCAGTCTAGCAGGCACAAAGTAAGATGAAAGTTCAAACATTTTACCTGGGTCATTTTCTGCTGACTGAACTGCAGAACTGCCATCGTGTGGCCAAACATGGATGTCCTAACTGTTAGCGTCTGCCAATAGCTGCAAGCATGAAGGACAAAATTGAGGAGTCATAAACTAACCATGGCTCTAGTTAATGACTGGTTCTTACATGTAGCAGAGTGTGCCGTTACTAGACAGTCCAACAAGAACTGAACTAGGATTTCAAATTCAGAATTAAGGACACAACACAACGGGGCTTGGCTCTGTGTAAAGACAACAGGGAAGACATTAAAGAGATTTATATACATTGTACTCACTACCTGCCTTCTAATTGGCTAAGAGCCTACAACTAATTTTGGAAACCAGCGCAACCTACAGATTAGTCAGTTATCTGCTAGCAGATACCTGACTAATCTGTAGGTTGTGTGTGCAATGCACTATTTCCAGTAACAATATCAATTCAGGTTCCTTACGACAGTGTGTTTGTAGTCACTACCTGTCTTCTTATTGGCTAAGAGCCTACAGCTAATTTTGGAAACCAGCACAACCAACAGATAAGTTAGTTATCTGCTAGCAGATAACTAACTAATCTGTAGGTTGCGTATGCAATGCATGATTTCCAGTAACAATATCAATTCAGGTTCCTTGCGACTGTGTTTGTTGTTATTTTCTTCAAAACAATGTATAATAAGGCAATTATTAGATTCAGTTTTTGTGATATCCTAAATTATCAAGGTCTCGGCAAGTGTTAACAGCCTCCGCCTTCAGCGCAGCTGATAACTAGTGCAACCTTGATTATTCCAGATATCACAAAAACCTCATCCAATAATTGTTCATTATCAGGTACATACTCAGCAGTTATTTATGTTTAATATTGACTAGAATAATATTCCTTTGGGCAGTATTTATATCAATCTTTGGGAAGTGAACAAACCCCTCTAGCAATAAGAATTCTAACTGGCTGGAGACGAAGAAGTTGTCTATAAACAAGCATAGCTGAGAATATGAACCCAGGACTTCTAAGAACAAATCCAGCTTGGTTGGACTCAAGGCCTCTCTGTTGCCAGAATATCATTTGGACCACTCAGCCACACTGCCAAGCCATTTTCATCAGCTAAACACACTCAGCAATGGCTACCCTTTCCATAATTATTTTAAAGTTACCCTTATATAGTAGACCAGCCAGGAATTTAAAAAAAAAAAATGAGGACTACTGCTTTCAAGACTCATACCCAACTTAAACAAACCAAGCAGCCCTGTGTCAACGTAGAGATCATACACTCAAACCAGTATGACCAATTCAGCATTCTAG